GCTACCTTTTTTTTTTTACCGGGAAAACTACTAGGACTTTGCCTAGTAGTGTATTTTCATTAAAGAAAAAAGAATGTACAAGGAAGCAGAAGTTACAAGGGAGCTCCTAAAGGGTTACAAAGTTTGTATCCAATCAAAAACTATTTGCTTTAAAGGCTCCTTCATTTTGCACATATGCAGAAGAATTTCATTCCAGAAGAGGCTTCTCCACGATTGAAAGGATGGCGCAACATTCTGAAAGATGAGTCCATTTCTCTGTTTCCAAATGTGCCAAGAAGCAGTGAAGAAGAGATGAAGTTAGACTTCTGAAAGAAGAGATGAAGAAGAGATGAAGTCTAGTGGAGCTTTATTTCCAGAAAACCCTTTCGAGCAAAATTCAACCTTGCTAAAGTCTAGTGGAGCTTTATTTCCAGAAAACCCTTTCGAGCAAAATTCAACCTTGCTAGGATTATCATTTGAAAGAATTCCATGTGATGACTCCAGTTGATTCCCAAGTGCTGCCAACACCTAACACTAAACGGGCAGGTGAAGAAGAGATGAAGTCTGGTTTCTCTGTGGCCTCCATTGCACAGGACACAAGTTAAGTCATCATTCTCCTTTGCACAATGTCTCTTGTCAAGCATATCCCTAGTATTTAGCCTGTCACTGAAGAGGAGCCAGGTAAAAACCTTGATTTTCATGTCACATTTTGTCTTCCATAGCCAAACATACGGCCTGGGGGGTTGCAGAGGCATGAAGTTGAGCTTATAAAATTTCTTTGCAGTGTATGTAGTTGAATTCCAAATAAAGCTCCAACTATCACCTTGTCCTGGCTGCAAATGCAAAAGGCTAAGTTCTTCTTCCAGCAACAGAAACTCTTCATAGGCCAAGACTGACAAAGGTAGCAAGAAAGAATCCTCTAGGGGTCTTGTGCACATGGCCAACACAGATTCCTCTTTATGAACCGCCAGGCTGTAGAGAGTGTGATACTTGTTGCTCATAAGGCCATCACTCCATAAGTATTCCCAAAAGAGAGCTGAGGTTCTAGTTCGAGGGGTGCATTTACCAATTCCTCTGAGAATATCAATGTGGGCCAAAATGTCCTTCAGCAAAAAAAGAACCCTTATTTAGACTTGTGTGGGGGACTTTTGCAAGATAGTAACTTTTCCATACTAAGTCAACCCAAGGCAAATCAGCACCATTATAAAGTTTAACCAGATGTTTCATAAGAAGAGCAGAGTTCTGAAGCTTCAAGTTTACAACTCCCAAACCCACTTTTTCCTTTGGCCTGCAAACTAAGTCCCATGAAGTTAAGGATCTTCTTGTGGAATTTGGGTTATTTCCCTTCCAAAGACAATTTTTTCTTGCATTATCAATTGCTTTAATGCATGGGCTACCTTCTTAGTTACCTTAATTAATGGTAGTAGAAATAGGGTTTGGATACCCTGGAGTTGGCTTCAACTCCACCGGGTAGATTTAACTAAATCCCTGCCATTTATTTTTTTCTACGGCTGAGAATAAGCCACATCTCCTAATTAATTCTATCAATCGCATGGATTTGAAGCAAAATTATTTTCTTAACATTTAGCAATGATAACGTTGCAACCAACAAAGTTAACAGAGTATACATGTTCTCTTATTCAAAATGAACAATAATGTGCCAACCGAATGTTTCCTCGTATACATATATAACACAATTCGGTATATTTTTATATATAATAGAGTTTTTATATATATATATATATAATAGAGATGAAGCCAATCTTATGCCAAAAAAAAAAGAAAATGTCGGCCAGGAACTGGAATCACTATGTCAAAAAGCACTGTTTCTTTGGACAACTAGTTGTTAGTTATAAAGATTAGATGAAACTATTTCCCAGAAGAAAAAAAATAGTTGAAATTAAGGTGGCTTCATCTCAGCCATAGAGAACAGTAGATGGCAGAGATTTGGCCAAATCTACCTGGTGGAGTTGGAGTTAACTCTAGAGGATCCGGATCTAGTAGAAGTATGAGAGGGCATATTTGTGCATAAAAATATATAAGTGGAGGGATAAAATTGTACTATAATCATCCGTATGAACGCATGATCAAATCTATGCACATGACAGCCAAAAAAAACCAGTTCTAATCATGTCATCTCACATATCTGCAATTTTTGTTGTGTAAATCTTCCCCCAAATTCATCCCCAATCAAACTAGCATTTGTTTGGGAGCTTGAGCTAGGCTGCAACTCCATTGGGATGCACAGCCATGGGATCATCGTCGTCTTACCGGCACTCTTGTTCTGCTCCTCGTTTTCACGTCGTTGTTTGCCCATGTGGCAGGTGACAGATTCAGGAATCTTGATGAGGGATGTTAGGTCCCGATCTTTCGATAGGTATTGATAAACAGTCGATTTGCGCGGAGTCGCGACACAGCTCGATCCAACTTCTGAACGAACATGCTACTAAGCCCCACAATCGCAGCACCACGTCTCCTCTGGTTACCAACCATGCCGAAACCTGGTCGACCTCGCCGAGAAGGCTAATCCATGCATGCGAATAGAAGAACACAAGCAAGAACAAGATAGATTGTAACCAAATTGCATATAAATGATTAAGCACTCCAATTTGGGGTTCCACAAATCGATCTAGCGGCAAAACTCTGCTTGGATTTTGCATTGAGATTTTGTTTCTTGATGAAATGGAAGGTGGAGATTGATCGATGCATGTGGTGGCGTGTTTGCAGCGACGAATTCACAGACGAACTCATTGTCGTTCGTCCGAAGCTCCCCTGTTCTTTTATGAAAATTTATGCAGGCAATGTGATCATATTGGTGTTCTTGCGTGGTTCTTGATCATGACGCCGTCGAATTCTTTTTGTTGCCTTGCTCGGTATGTTTAGTGCAATGCTGGTTTTCGTGGTCATGACGGTCTGGTTCATCTCACTCGCCCTCACCGTGTTTCACTTTTTGCTAGGGCAGTTACGTGACAGATCCTGAAATGTCTAAGGGATACTGATTTTATTGCCCAGACCGTGTGAAAGCTAAAAATGTCGTATTCTTAGAAAATAATGAAGTATGGGGGAGCTTACACAAAAGGGAAATTAATCTTGAGTAAATTCGGGCTAATGTTACACAGGAAATCTAAGAGAAAAATATTCCAATTAATTTGATACCTCCTATTGTACCTGTGACTCAAACTGTGTGGTAGCACCAGTGAAAATTCTGGTGATACCGACTCTGTTGAAAATAATAATGAATTAAATAATGACACTAAAAAAAACTTCTGAGACACATAATGAGAAATTCCACAAGAACGTTCTCAACTGCTAGTGATCGAAAATGAACCACTTAGAATATCATAACGGGAGAGGAGATCTGACATCCCAAATTATTATGAGGTTTATTAAGGTGAAGGTATAGGGAAGATAGATGATCACAGCTCATTTAAAGAAGCGATAACAAGTGAACATTCATTCAAATGACTTGAAGCTCTGGAAGATGAAAAAAAAATCCATGAGTCAATGGACTTTGGGACTTAGTAGAAATTCATAGAGGAGCCAAAATAGTAGGCTGTAAGTGGGTCTACAAAACTATGCTTGACTTTAAAGGGAAAATCAAAAGATTCAAGGCAAGATTTATAACAAAGGTTTTTTTTTTCACAAAGAGATGTAATAGTTTATAATGAAACATTTTCCCCTATCTCTAAGAAAGAGTCATTTAGAATTGTCATGTCACTAGTTGCTCATAATTTAGGACTCTATTAGATTAATGTAAAGACTGCATTCCTTAATGGTTACTTGCATTAGAATGTATACATGGCACAACCCAATAGTTTTGTTCTGGAAGGCAAGGACTATTTGGCTTGCAAACTTAAGAAATCTGTCTATGAACTTAAACAAGCGTCAATGCAATGGTACCTTAAATTCGATGAAATAATTAAGAGATTTGAATTTAAGGAGAAGGAGGTGAATGATTGTATTTATATTAAAACTAAAGGTGAAAATTTTTTGTAATACTAGTACTCTACGTGTATGACTAAACAATTTTTCTCATCTAATTTTGATAAGAAGCATCTCGGTGAGACATCTTATGTTTTAGGTATTGAAGTATACCTGGATAGATCTAAAGGAGTATTGGGATTATCTCAGCAGAGTACTAGAAAGATATAATATGAGTAAGTGCTCTACAACATTTACTCCAATAGTTAAGGGCGATAAATTTAGATTATTTCAAAGCCTGAAAAATAAGTTAAATCAGATCAGATGAAAGTGGTACCATACACTTTTGCTGTCAGAAACCTAATGTATGCTCAAGTCTCTATGCGTCAAGACTAGCATTTGTTAATGGAATGCTTGGCAGGTTAATTTCAGATTCCAGAATTAGATCACTAAAAGACCTTAAAAAGGCATTGTGTCATTTGCATGGCACCAAGGATTACATGCTCACATATAAGAAGTCGTTATTTAGATGCAGACTTTGCAGGATGTGTAGACACTGAGAAATCCAAATCTGTCCTAGGGCAATGTAGGTGGCGACCGGAAGGTCACCGCTACCCTGCTACTGATCGCCAGCAAACCCTTCAGGATCAAGCCGGTAACTTTATCCACACGACTACTATGATTATCTCCCCTACACCGACGATCACCTGAGTGGTTCAAGGGACTTCGTACTCTACTTCCACTCCGGCCACTCCGGCCGACGGCATTATAGAGGAAATGACCAGAATGGCACCAATGGCTTCCAACGATGGTAAGTTACCCAATTCCACATTGGGGTGATTATGTTAGGCTAAGCAATTATTATTTAGTACTTCCTCCATTTCACAATGTAAGTCATTCTAGCATTTCCCACATTCATATTGATTTTAATGAATCTAGATAGATATATATGTCTAGATTCATTAACATCAATATGAATGTGGAAAATGCTAGAATGACTTACATTGTAAAACGGAGGGAGTAGATTACAATATCTGCAATTTTCTTCCATCACTGAAAAATGTATATACTATCAAAGAATTATTTCCTGTACCAACAAGAAAATATAACATATACGTGTTTTTTTTTTTTGCATCCAAACAGATCAACCACTGCTACACATGTGAAACAATACGGCTAGTTAAATTGGATTGACAAATCGCAAGTTGAAGTGAAAAGAGCGAATTAACTATTTGGCGTTCGCGTGCGGCTTTGCCTTATCATCACCTTTGGACGTGGGATTGGAGAACCCGATGCCGCTTCGAGTTGTGGGGAAGATCATGAACACAAAACTCGACAAGAACGACATACCCAGCGGCATATTCTTGAGCAGCTCCATGGTGTCGTGCCCGGCGTCCGGGAAGAGGCATCTCTGGAGCCCCACGTCGCTGAACGCAACGGACAGGAACACCACCGCCGTGAAGAAGGCGTGAAGACCGTCCAGCCAGTTCAGCTTCATCCTCTCCAGTTTGTCCTTTAGTTCTTTTTCTGCTGTTAGTTTGTTGTCTTGCTTTACCTTTTCGCCGCCCTTCTTCTCGAAGATACTCGTTAGCCAGGTTAGCTTTCCCTTCTTTTCTCCATTGTGTTCGGACTCGTTAGAACTGCTCGGACTTTTTTGTTGTCCTACCGCTTGCAGTTCCGTCGCCGTTCCATTTTTGTTTTCATTTTCCTTCTTGTTGTCTGGCTCGATATAAAAATTAGGATCGTTGTCCTCCTTGTTGAAGATTTTCAGGCCCCCCCTCATGGCCACACCGTAGTAGACCTTGCCATTATAGTAGATAGTGTCCGTGATGGCGAAGAAGATGCAGAAGACGGTGAGGAAGGTGACGAGCGAGACGGTGAGCCACCAATTGGAGGTGTAGCACTCGCCGTGGTTGTTGAAGGACGGCGAAAGCGCTTGGTACGCCATCACCGACCCCGTCGGCAGCAGCTGTGCGAGGTTCGCCGATGCCGACAGCACCTTGTCCTGCGCCGCAGGTTTGGAGTTGGCATTCTCTTCGTTACCATTTATATTCTTATGATTGGCAACATTGGAGGCGGCATTATTACTACTTTCACGACGATTCTGATCGCTCGTCATTGTGTAAATATCGGCAACTTTTCGGGAGGCATCTTTGGAGGAGGCAGTGGTACTACTGTCGGAAAATCCAATGCCGTGGCGTGTGGTGGGGAAGATCATGAAGACGAAGCTGGAGAGGAAGGACATACCCAGAGGCATGTTCTTGAGCAGCTCCATGGTGTCGTGGCCGGCGTGCGGGAAGAGGCATTTCTGGAGCCCCACGTCGCTGAACGCCACGGAAAGGAACACCACCGCCGTGAAGAAGGCGTGAACACCGTCCAGCCAGTGCAGCTTCCGCTTCTTTAGTTGGTTCAACACCTCTCTCTGTTCTTGCGTTAGGTCTTTGCCTTGTTCAGGCATTATAATTAGCTTCCCTTCCTCGTCTGCAATACTATCGCCCACCTCAATGTTGAAGATTCTCAGGCGCTCGCTCATGGCCACGCCATAGTACACCTTGCCTTTGTGGGTGATGCTGTCGGTGAAGGCGAAGAAGATGCAGAAGACGGTGAGGAAGGTGACGAGCGAGACGGTGAGCCACCAGTTGGAGGTGTAGCATTCGCCGTGGTTGTTGAAGGACGACGACAGCGCTTGGTACGCCATCACCGACCCTGTCGGCAGCAGCTGCGCCAGGTTCGCCGACGCCGACAGCACATTGTCCTGCGCCGCCGCAGGTTTGGAGCCATCATCTTTTGGAGTCGACGTCGGTGTGTTCGTGCCAGCGGCAGGCTTGGTGTCACTGCTAGCACCGGCAGCCGCATCTTCCATATGCGGCGTTGGGAACATGCCATCGGGGATAGTAACACTGTGGCTGTCGTTTGCTCGTGCCATGTATTGAACCCTACCTAGCTACCTGAGTGTGTGTGGCGCTGTTACTTGGGAGATCAGGAGATGTGCATGGAATGGAGTGGACTGGCTGCTGCTCCGTTCGTTCGGCACTGTTGCCTTTTATACTGGTGATCAAGGCTCCAAATTGCTTCACGATTAGAGCTTGCTTTTGCATTTGTTAATGTGGAAGAGCGTGGTGCAAGGTTGGATGGTCTTGAACAATGCATATTCTTCACATTCACGTGGTTTTCCTCTCTTTGATATGTATTCTAAATTCCTGCCAATCCACTTGGGATTTTTACACATTTAATACTGTTTTCGTGCTCATGGCAACTTGACATGAGCAAACTGTTATCTTCGTACTATACCATGAATATATGCACTGTTGTTCTTCTAGAAACGTTAGGAAATATAGGTTGTTTAACTTCTCCAATGTGCAATAGTGGTAGTATCAACGCGGAGTGGTAACTACTTCAGGGTTTAGCTATTTCTCTTGTGAACTTAATAACGTGTATATATATTCTCATAGTTCATATTACGATCAAACGAACTCAATCAACAATGTACTAAAATTCTTAACAACATGATACACGTGCTGTTTCTACGAGCACATGGACCAGGATTAACAATCTTGATGCACCACCCCAAAATAACATGCCCATCGAGATCATGGTTTTCATGAATTTCAATCGAAATTTGATAATTTTTGTAAGACAAAATTTTCGATATGAAAAAAAAAAAATTTCTTGACATGAGTCATCTAAATCCATGAAATTTCAAATGGTTTGTTTGAGAAAACATGACAGCAATGAGGGGATTGACTTGCTGACACATTTGTTCAGTTTCTCGATTCATTCGAAATCCTGGAAATTTATCTGAAATTCATAAAACCTGTTCCAAGTCTGACGAAAACTAAAACGAACTGCAGTTACAAACACAAACCAGACTAGGGAGTAGGACTCCATCAGGAAAGACAAAGAAGGCTGCTATGGGGAATTCAGCTCCTAAAACAAGTTACAAATGAAATCTTTAAGTCACAATATGGATGGAGAAAGAGATCAAGCAGGCTGGAGGCGTGAAGAGAGAAGAAACTACAAATACAATAGAAATGAATCACTGTACATTGTTTCTTATCAATAACCATTTGAAGATTCTTATCTTTAGTGGGACCTTAATCTTCAAGATTTTTGCTCTGCACCCCTGATGTTATTGGTATCATCTGTCCTGCATTTTCAGAGCTATATAAAAGGGTTTAACACTAAATACTCCATTTTTGGTTAATGTCCACTCCACCTTGTCATTTTGTTCAGTCAGCTGAAAAATGTCACAAATTTGTTTTATTTTGTTCCAATCCAACAATCTATCACATGTTACATTTCTCCTGAAGGTAATTGCTTCCCAACCTTTTTCTTATACCCAAGACAGGGTAATGTTTTTTGATTGAGTGAATCTATAAATATGAGGGATTTATTCAGCTATGGGTCTCCCACAACCCTGCTGTCCCCCCAAAAAGTGTGTATTTTTCCCATTCCCTTTTATTTTTTTTGATAAAACGATAGCATATATAGGGGGTACCACTTAAACTAGAATTGATCAGGGTGACTCTCCCTCCAATGGACTGTAGATTACCTTGCCAACATCCCACATTTTTTTTTCATTTTTTCTCTTTGTTTGATTGCAGTCCTTAATTAATTAAGATACGTTTTTGATGAATGGGGATTCCTAAATATTTCATAGGTAAAGTCCCTATGTTGCATGTAAAAATTTAACTATATTCCCCCCTGCCTAACTTCAGCCTCTCCTAAACAGATTATCTCACTTTTATTAAAGTTTATCTTCAAACCTGATAGTTGTTCAAATGGACACAACATAGCCTCTTGATCCCTCCTCCCTCCTCTCCCAGCTCAGAACGGTGGCCTCGGCAGTGCTCGGCGGCGATGGATCAAGTCAACCGCGAGTGAATCTAGTGGTGGCGTGCGAGCGGATCCAGATGGCACCGGCAGATCTTGGGCAGGGCTCAGTGCAGCGGATTCAGACGACAGTGACGAATGCGAGGCGGTGACGGGTGGATCTAGGACGGCGCTCAGTGGTGGAGGATCCAGGCGGCCTGCGGGCAAGTCCAGGCGGCAGTCTGTGGATCTAAGGCGTGGCTCAACATTTGTGCTCGGCGGCGGCGGGGCTTGGTGTGGTGGATCTAGACGGCGATACGCGGGTGAATCTAGGAGGCAGCAGGTGGGTCTGTGGCAACAGCGGGCAGATCCTGATCATCAGTGGGCGGATCTAAGATAGGGATTGTTGGCGGTGGGGCTCAGCGGGTGGTAGCGGAGCTCATCGAGGAGGAGGTGGTCCTCGTTGAGGGGAGGGTAGACAGCGGTGGAGGCTCGTTGAGGAGAAGGATCCAGCCTCCTGCGTGGCACAACCACCATGACACAACTGCTATCTCCTCCCGCTCCTCAAATCCAATGAGGAAATTTGTGAATTTGTGAATCGGATTTGGAAATTTTTATTGCTTGGATTTGATTGGGGATCAAATTGAGGCAATTTGAGACTATCGGCCGCTCAATTTTTTTTAGCGCCGAAAATGTTTTTTTCAGGCGGATGGCTTAACTTGGCCGCTTGCGAAAATTGATTTTCACGGGTAGTTGAATATCTACTTGTGAAAATACACGATTTTCACATGCCCTAAGTTCCTAGTGGCGTGTCTGCATGCCTGCGAAAATATGTAATTTAGGCATTAGGTATTTCTCTTGTGAATTTAATAATGTGTGTATATATATTTTTATAGTTCATATTACTACGTTCAGACGCGAACTCAATCAACAGTGTAAGGTTAACATCATGATGCACGTGCTGTTTCTATGAGCACATGCACCAGAACTTACAATCTCGATGGACCACCAATATAACACGCCCTATTGAGATCATGGTTTTTCATGAATTTGAATCGAAATTCGTCAGTTCTTAGAAAACTTTGTAAGCAAAATTTATATATGAAAACAAATGAAATTTTTTGATAAACGATCAATTTTCGATCTAGATGAGTCATCAAAATATTTGAAATTTCAAATGGTTTGTTTGAGAAAACATGAGAGAAATGAGGGGATTGATTTGTTCACACATTCATATGACGGGATTGATTTGTTCACACATTCGTTCAGTTTCGCTTAAATTCATTAGAAATTCTGGAAATTCATCTGAAATCCACGAAATTCGTTTATATTTTCGTGAAGATATATAAATGAAATGTGGAATGAATGTTAGCAAAGGGAGAAAAATACACCAGACAAATAGCGATAAAAACAAGATTATACCTGGCCAAGAGTCCCCATTTTAGCATATTGCTTTTCATTAATCCTCAATGCTGGCAATCCACATTTAAGAAACCATACTTTATACGATTAATCAAGGAAAAATTGCAAAAACCACCCCAAATATCACTCTAAATTTGAGATGCCCCCTATAAGAAGATTTTGTTGTAAATTCCCACCTCCTAATTCACCTTTGTTTGATTTAGGCACCTTCTCTCTACACATGCGTTATTCCTAGAGCATTTGGTGGCGAAATTAGCCAAGTCCCACTCGTCGTGATGATTTGTCAATAGGTTCCTTTTGCATTAGATTGGGTGGCCTTAAACTATATTGAAACCTGCTATTTTGGGTCATCTGACCAATTTCAACAGATGAAGTCATGCCTTTCTAATCTAGCTATATGATTACTGCTTCATGTTCAAGTGTTTCTATATGCTCATTACGTCTATGAAAAAAAAACGAATATGTTGTTCAGTACACATGTCAGTTTGGAATATATATATATATATATATATATAGCTAGTATACCATGAAAAACACAGTGTTGGCCATGATAACACAACGAAAAAATGATCGTATTATACAGAACAAACAACATAATCACTTGCTCCCGTCGAGTGGGACTCAGTTGATTTTGCCACGAGATTCTTTAGGAATCACGCACGTGTGGAGAGAATGTGTCTAAATCAAACCAAGATGAATTAGGAGGTGGGGATTTGCAACAAATCTTCTGGGGGGCATCTCAAACTGAGAGCGACATTTGGGGTTGGTTTTGTAATTTTCCCATTAATCAAAAACATCACTAATAGTGTTATAAAGGCGGTTCTCACTAGAACAATATATAATTAGGTACGGTAAGCCATACGAGGTATCTGATGAACTGTTTCATGTTATGTAATTTAATTGAGTGGTTTATAGAAACTAAATTTCAAAACAATTTCAACGGCCCAACAATCACAGAGGGTTTGTTTAATTTGTACGCGTATGTCATGGTTTAGTCCCGAGAGGCTTGGCTTGGACCAACGGAATTATCATAGATGTGTTGGTATTATAAGTGTGTCTAATGTCATTTCAAAGACGCTATCAAAATTAATTAATCATCTGTATTGTCCGCGTTACTTATTTGCCATATATTCTATATAAATGCACTATTAAATCATATAATGGTTATTCCAGAGAATATATGTAAACCGGTCAACTGTGACCTCGGGGGCCTTAGATCGGGCGGTATCTAGCCATGGTCAGGAGCAGGTACAGGTCCATGATCCGGACCTCTTATGGTGACAAAATGGGAGGTGATTGTGTCCTTCCCCCCTTCTCTACGTCTGGTTGTAACTTGGGAGGAGGAAGGATACCACCACATCACTTTTAATATTTACAGAAAGTGACATGGCATTTGTATGATTAGATATTACTCCCTCAGTCTCTAAATATTTTACGCCGTTGACCTTTTTAAACATATTTGACCATTCGTCTTATTTAACAAATTGAAGTAATTATTTATTCTTTTCCTATTATTTGATTCGTTGTTAAATATACTTTCACGTATATATATATATATAGTTTTACATATTTCACACTAGTTTTTGAATAAGACGAACAGTTAAATATATTTTAAAAAGTCAACGGTGTTAAATATTTAGGAATGGAGGGAGTAATAATATCAGACACATCAGGATTAAAACAAACCTTGAGCTAGCTAGCTTACAGCTTAATTACACCAGTTGTGCAGCATCCGCAACATATTGATGCTTAATTTCTACGAAACGTTTGGTAGCAGATCGTGAAACTCGCATCGCTCCAGCTGTGAGATACCTAGTACTAAACCCAACAACCTCACATGCAAGCATATATATACAATCGTTGTTTCAATACACACCTTACATATTCTAAAAATTGGGTTGAATTAAGTACGAAACAATAGTACGCACACAAGTCTGTAACACAATATTGTACGTACTACTCCCTACGTTTTATATTGTAAAATGGTTTTTGATTTTTTTTAAATCAAACTTCTTCGACTTTAAACAAATTTATCAAAAAAAATATACTAGCTAATATTTTTAACACAAAATAACTAGCATCAAAATATATTCGATGTTAGATGTAATAAAACTATTTTGATGTTATAGATTTTACTATGTTTTTTTATAAATATGATCGAATTTAGGGAAAAAATAACATATTAAAAAGACGGAATAATTAGTTTTGAGACTTGCGCGTCAATCTTTTAAATTAGTAGTATACCTATATGTATATTACACTATATTTATCAGACATTCACAAGACACGTGTGTCACGCCCTAGCTGCCTAAAATGCCATCTGCCAGACTGCCAGGTATGTATTATGATGAACCCTGAGTTCCTCTCGACACTCAAGGCTGTTGTTGGCCCGATCTTTCGATGAGTTGTGATAACTACGATTTGGGAGAAACGTTGACGATCCGACTACAACCGTACGAGACGTTGTGTTGCGCCTTAGCGATCGATACACCTCTCCGTGGGTTGCTGATCTTGCCGGTGCAGATCAACCCTATTCCTGCAAGCAAATCGAAGAAACAAGCAAGAACAAGATAAAAGCAATCTGATATTGCAAATAGGAATTTAATACAAATGATAAGTTGGGGTTCCGAAGAACAAGCAGACGGATGGTCTAGCCGACACGCGCGCTGCAAGCAAGTAGCAATGGCTAAACTTTAATCTAACAAAAACCCCAGAAACCCTGAAGGGGTAACTAGCTATAT